CTACTAGTAGTATTATTACTATTATTATCATTATTATTTTTAATAATTTTGTTACGTTTATTTCTAGCAAAAACAAACAACTCTCCACTAGTTGGTCTTTTTGATGGATCCACATCCCAACACCTCTGCATCATTTGTACATAATCATCAGGCATTCCAGGTAGTATTGGTGGTCGTAAACCTTCACATATATCAAAAATCAAATGATGATTGTGAGCTCTATCATCAAATGGTGGATGTCCTGCAAATATTTCCCACATTAACATCCCAACACTATAGATATCAGTTTCTTTTGTGTTCTTTGTATTATTGCCTATAAGTAACTCGGGTGCAACATATGATACAATTCCATAGACTTTATTTGATGATTCACCATCAACTGGTCCACATAATCCTAAATCTGTAATATAACAACTCAATCACACAAAATATATATTCGTTCAGAGCGTCAAAATTAGCACCGGATGCAAAGTATCTTAGCATCTTAACATGTGTTCATGATCAATGATGCAATTTTTAATAAAAATAGACTATTTCATGGCCAAATGTGCATTGATCGAGTAGTCTAATAAATTACCACAAAAACATACACAATTAGACACTCTATCCTCAAAAATGCAAAAAAGGTGCATTAATTGGTTTTGCTTTTTACATTGTATTCGAATTCGATAGTCAAGGTACGTAGTGCTGAAATGGTGTTCTATATATGATTCGGTTACATTCTAATGCGAGGTATCTATCTATATTCGTCCAGTAACATCAACATTAGTATTAGCCAGTCATGGTTTATCCGTTACGTAGAGCAAAAAATTTATTTATTTAAAAAATTTACATGTACAAAGGGAAATTGTTCACGAATTTAATAAATTTAATAAAAGTCCCTTTCCAAAGAAGAGCTCTCGTGCGAATCAAAAGCTATTTACGAATTTTGATTGTTAAAAAAATTAGGCTTTTTTTTTCTTAATTAAAAAAACCCCGATATTTTGTCCTTGTGTTTTATTTATTTATCTCAGATTAAAGGTCAATTGGATCAATTGAATTTTTTTCAAGTCTCTTGTTATAAAAGAATAAACTTCATGCAAACATCAAAAGTTATTTACAAATTTCGATTGTTAAGAAAAACCCAACTAAGCTTTTTTTTCTTAATTAAAAAAATTCTTTACAAAGATTTGTTTCTCCGAAAGAAAATTAAAATAAAATTTTTCCACTATCCCTCAAATGGTCAAAGTCAAAAAAATTATCAATGAATAATCAAAAAAAATTAGTGCGTATTTGTTTATCGATCATTGAATTGACCGATAATAATAACAACAACAAAATAAAATGTAAAAAATGTTTTTGAATTCCGGTCTTGTGTCCCGGAATATGTACGTTGTGTGACGATTTAGGATCTGAGGTAAAAGCTCCACAGGTTTTTGGTCATTTCAATTGGTCCAAAACGTCAGAGCAAGATGAAGACATAATTGTAGACAGCGGTAGACACTACGCAAAAAATCTAAAGCGGAACACGATTTCTTTTCGGTCAAGTATTTGCTTCGCTCAACCCTGACGTTTTGAACAAAAATAGATAATTTTTCGGTTGTCAAATAAATATTTTTGTTCAAATTTCAATTTTAACAAATTAATTTCAAGCCGGCGTACAAAAAAAAGAAAAAAGCGACTCATTACGAAGTTTTACCCTTTGATTTTGATCCCAACAATCCAGTTTGCTAAAGTTGAGCAACAAAATGTTTAGAAGATTCGTGATTTGTTACCGTAATTGCACCGGATTTACCGTTTCAAGTCATGACGAGTCTTCTTTATAACATAATGTTTCCCGTGCATCCAAATTTGGGTAAAATTGTTAATAAAATATTACACAAAATATAAAATCTACACACAAATTACGACATTTAGTGAGGAACCGTACGTAACACGGCAACTTTTATTCTCAAAAATATATCTACATCATTAAAACACCAAGTCGAATTTATATATTATATTTTTATATAATAATAATGTCATATGTTGACCTATTATCATCGTTATCACAAGAAAGAAAGAAATTTTTATATAAAATTTACAGTGAAATACTTAATTATGCTGATGCCAATTCTGAAAGAGAAAGTAGAAAAGATTATTTTTTTTCATTAGTTGAAAAAAACAAGGAGCTTTCTGAAAATGAAAAAGAATATTGTAAAGAAAGGTATATTTATAATTTTGAATTAGAAAATGCAACATATAAAGAGGGGAAACAAAAAGAATGCAACAAATGTAAATTGACAAGATACTCTAATAGGTTCTGTGAAGGTTGTATTAGATTACAATTACAGAGTCTTTTCACCACTTGGACATCTGGAAATAACATAATTGATGATTTTATTCAGCAATGTCAAATGAAATCATCTCTGCCACGCTATATTTTAGAATGGATACCTTTTGAGCAATTTGAAGAAGTAACAAAGTTAACTGAAGGCGGGTTTAGTTCAATTTATACTGCAACATGGACAAGGGGAACTATTATTGATTATGACGAAAATAAAAAGGAATTTAGTTGTTTTGGAGATCAAATGGTAGTATTAAAAAGTTTAAATGATTCAAGTAATCCAGGAAAAGCCTTTTTTGATGAGGTTGGTAGTTGTCATTTAAACAATACTGTATTATATAATACTAATTGACTTTATATTTAATTATAGGCAATAAATTATTGTAAAATTCGATCGATTTTGATTGTTAAATGCCATGGTATAACTAAATTCCCAGATAATGGAAATTATGCAATAGTTTTAAATTATTTGGAAGGAAATTTAAGGGATTATTTGCAAAAAAATCATTTAAATTTAGCATTAAAAGACAGAATTTCAATCTTTGATTATTTATGTGATGCATTAAATCAGATACATAAAAAAGATTTAATCCATTGTGATTTACATAGTGGTAATATACTTGTGCAAGGAGGTGATTGTTATATTACAGATTTAGGATTATGTGGACCAGTTGATAAATCATCAAATAAAGTCTATGGAATTGTATCATATGTTGCACCCGAGTTACTTAGAGGAAATAACACGAAGAACACCAAAGAATCAGATATCTATAGTGTTGGGATGTTAATGTGGGAAATATTTGTAGGACATCCACCATTTGATGATAGATCTCACAATCATCGTTTGATTTTTGATATATGTGAAGGTTTACGACCACCAATACTACCTGGAATGCCTGGTGGTTGTGTGCAAATGATGCAGAGGTGTTGGGATGTGGATCCATCAAAAAGACCAACTAGTAGAGAACTGGCTGATTTTGCTAGATATAAATGTAATGAAATTATTAAAAATAATAATAGTAATAATACTACTAGTAGCAGTAGTAATGGTTCACAACAAGCACACAAACCACATCCAGATGCATATCATAAAAGTAGAATCTTAGATGAAGAGATTGCTAAATCTAAAAGCTTGAAAATTTATACAAGTAATAGTTCGTTAAATAATCTTGATTGTGACTCTTTTTTCTAAATGTTAACAAAGGTAAATAAAAAAATTTCACTGCTTATTAATTAGAAATTACTACTTATTAATTATTACCAACAATATTAATCAATTAAATTCTAATAACAATAGTAAAAGAATTGATGGATGACTAATTTAATCTCCACTATAAATTTATTCTTTATTTTTTTATTTATCTTTTTATTTCGTCCTTATTTTATTTCTTATCTTGTAACAATATTTTTGAAATAATATTTTTACAATTTTTCGATTATTGTTAAATGGTGATATTGCAAGGTATCATTTGGTTAATTAACAATTATGAGCTAACTTTTGGGCTACTCTTGTCAGTTAATTCACAATAATTCGGTGCTTGTCAATTAATTAGTTTATTAATTTACGAATCTGTGAGCACCCTCCTCCTGAAGATCAATTGCATTATATCGTCGGAGGGACAAGTCAGATATTAGCCTTATGTGCTCAAGGAATAACAAATAAGTTTCCAGTAATCAAAATTGTATATTAAATTGTTTGGTGTTTCCGTGTTTCAAATTGTCCAAGTATCTATGAGATAGAGATCTCTAATAACAAATAACACAAACAATCATAATCTTGTGTACTTGCTCTCAAAAAATAGTTGTTGTAAAGAATGTCGGATAATTACCTATCATATAAAAGACTACAAGTTTTGCTCCACGTTTATTTAGGCTATTATATAAAAAATAAAGGCATAACAAAACAAATGAGTAAAATTAAAAATAAAAAAAAAAGATAAAGATTGGATTAAAAAAGTAACTTAATTCCTAATCAATGATTGATCATGCATCACGTTATTAATGTTAATATAATAATAATGTTCGAGTATGAGTGCATGGAAACTGAATTGTGTTCAGCAAAAGAGGAACTTAGCTCCTTGGGAACCATGATGGATACACAAGAAAAATATAAAAAAAAGACCTTGGAATACATATTTATAAGTTTTTTTTTGTGAGCTATATATTTTATTAAAGCAATTTCGTCAAACAACATGACAAGTACACAAAACTTCCTTCTAACAAATTTCATGCATATTTCTTGATTCGCATTATTATTATTAATTTTTTAAATGTGTTCGAAAATCGATTCGCATTGATTCTATTATTATAATTATTATTATTATTATTACTATTACTTTTACTATGCTCCAATTATCCAGTTAATCGGGCGTTGAAAATTTTTCAACGATTAATTGATGAATGATCGGTGGTGGCATGGAATAATTTTAATACAGTACATGTAAATAGATAACATCCTATTTTATCTCCACAGACTTCAGAATTTAGATGAAGATATTCAGCAGTGAGGCTCCGAACAAATCGAATTTTAAAGTGATTCGATTCGGCTCGATTCGAATTCAAACCGGATACAACCCACTAATTACATGCATAATTTTAATAATAGAAAAAAAAAAATTTCTCGTTATAGAAGAAATCACAGATTATTCATTATTTTATTGGAATTTTCACAAGCATTCCTTCAACAACAACAACAATGTCAACTGAACGCAGTCGACCAATTAGTGTTTCCAATACCTCTACCACCTCTACTGGTACCACCACAACTACCTCTGGTGCTGTTACAACTGCAACTAATAATGATAATGATGGTAATGATAATATTTTGCCTACTACATCTTCAAGTATAGTTGCTTCCACCTCCACCTCCACTTCCACACCTACTCTTACACAACGAGATGAAATTAAGCAAGGACGAAAAATTAAAAAAAATCGATCATCTATTCCAATATCAGCATCTCTATCAATCTCAAATACAACCACTACTATACAAGAACATGTAAAATTGATTAGTTCAGATGGATTCGAATTTTTGATAGAAAAAGATGCTGCATTTGTTTCACCAACTATGAAAAATATGTTATCAGGTTCTTTCTTTCTCTCTATATATATATGTGTGTGTGTACATATTTATACATTAACTAATAATTTTTTGAATGACTTTTAATGATAATAATATTGATAGGACAATTTATAGAAGCACAACAAAATACAATTCATTTTCCCGAAATCAAGTAATTTAACCTATCATCTTACATAAAAAATAAATAAATAGATAAAATAGACTGTAATGATATATGACTCATTAATATCTTTTCATTATTACTGTTATTATTATTATCAGAGCTGTGGTTCTTGAGAAGGTTTGTCAATATTTATACTACAAACTTCGATTTCAAAACAGTGAAAGAGACATAAGAGACATACCACCATTCGATATTGATCCTTATATGGCATTGGAATTACTTATGGTTGCTGACTTTTTACAATGTTAGAAAAAACATTAATAAAAACCATTTTTGCAACTGATAATAAAAATATTTATTTTATTTATTTTTTCTTATCAATATTAAGTTTGTGTTCACATTAATATTCTATTTAATTTATATATAATTAATTGTCAGAAGTTTTTACAGCATATATTCTTACAACACCAATACAATAAAGAATTTTTTATAAAGAAATGACAACACTTGTAACCCAAATACCACCTTGCAATATGATCCAAAACCAATTATTGGTATTAATAAACACTAAAATGAAATAAAAATGTTAGTTTTAAAATCATACAAGCAAAACATCCAAAAAACAAATTTTTGTTATTTACCATCTTCCTCATATTTAGATTTAGCCTTAGCCCTTTAGTTCTTGAACACTTGACATAAGTTTCAGATTGAGCTAAAATAATAGTAATTCTTTAGGTGGGGTGTCAAAATCCTCTTTGTTGCCAAAATTGATTCCTTATTGGAATCTTTTAACTTCCCTAGTTTCTGAAGAAAATCATGATAAAGTAGCTTATCTTGAGTTGGATTTGCTCACAAATAAATATCAGTACCTTTTTCATAAACTTTCTGTAAATCGGCCATTTTTAGCATACCACCAGTGTACATAAATGCCTGGACCATAAAGTATAAATAAGTAATAATTTAATTATTTATTAATTTATATATAAATATCTATTTGTATATGTGAATGTAAATGTAAATGTATTTATTAATACTTACATAATCAGATCCTATCCCTCTATTAGGATTGTCATGTATACGTGGGGTGGCTGAAAAGTAATGAGAAAATAGCTTTATTTCAAAAACTTTATTACAACTTTTAAAAAATTTTATT